ATGAGGATGTTGGAACTCGGTGCCTGGATTCCCTTCAAACCCTTTCTGAGGATGGGCACAAAAAGTCTTCTCCGTAACAGTTCAAAGTTGTTAGTAAGAGCTGTAATGAGGCTTTTCCTTAAATGCAGGAATTTGAAACTGAACAGATGCATTAGCAAATGTTAAGTGAAAAAGAATTACTGATAGAACAGCTTTATGTATTAATATAGAGTCCCTAATTTTTTTTTCCATTTCGAAGGAAATGCGATTGGACTGTTGTGTATTTAACCATCTGCGGTTTAGGCTCCAATTGTGTCAACATAAGCTTACATGTTTAATTTTACATTTTGTATTAATGTTACATTCACCTCAAGTTCATTGGAACTATTCAGGCAGAACTACTCAGCGTTTTGTCAGTAGAGCATTGAGCGTCAGGATCCTCACAGAGATGTAATGCTGCTTAAATAAATGATGGTGTATTTATTCTGTTTTGCCACGAAATAAACTGTTGCAACTGGAACAAAACAATACATTTAATTCAGATTTTATGAATTCTCTCAGGGGTATCCATGTTGTTCCTAATGCTGGCTTTTTTTTTTTTTTTTTAACTTCCTCCCAGGATGATAACGGCCTGTGTTACCCTTCAAGCAAAAGCCACGAACAGACTTTTGCCTACTTGATCGTGGATCCCTGCAAGCGACATGTGCACGCTCTCTATCACTGTTTTGGTGGAAGCTTATTTACTAACTAGTTCTAACTAGTACTAACGAGTTTCTCCAGTTTTGTAATGGAGGTGGCCTTCTCTCTGCACGAATTCAGGTAGGAGCTGCCTAGTTTTCTTCTGAGGAAGGATGTGCTCCTTGATTACGCGCTCTGAGCGGCCACACGTTCGCGGAGACGTTACGACGCGGTTAGTGACACAAGTTTTGCGCAACTTTTCTGTATTTAAAAGGCACACTGCTTGAAGCAGTCTCCCCGGCGGTGTTGTGCCCCCTTCCCTCAGCCGTTTTAGCTAATAAAAGGTATCTATCCCTCCAGACGTCTTTTCGGATCCACGACGCGTAAAATGCAGGGGGAGGCTCCGGAGCCAGTGAAATCTTCGCGGAATCGGGAGAAAGCACGCGCGACGGCCCGGCCCGGCCCGCCTCCTCCCTCCCTCCGTCGCCCTCGCCCCCAGCCCCGCTCC